ATAAGTTGATAAGTTATATTGAGTGAACAGACATCACGCAATAGCGGATTGGTTAATTGACCCTTATCTAACCCTAATACATCACCAAATTCTAGACCATCATCTTGTTAAATTTGTTTTCCTGATATTTGACTGAATGTGAAATTTTGAAATTGAAACAAGTTTTTCATGACAAAGGACAAGAAAGACTTTTACCGGTGTAAACAACACAAACATTTAAAAACTAGAAAGCACAAAGGATAACACTTATAACTAAAGCAAGAACAACACGAACCACTCCGAAACACAACTAGGGGGATCTTATAGGTGCTCCGGAAGGACAACCAAATCCTGATTCACGTGTGACACCCGTCGTGTTGCTCATATAAGTACAAACCCTGTGATATTGATTCGATATTTGTAATATAGTTTAACCATGACAAGTTATAGATCAAGTTCGAATTTTCTTCCAGTCAGAAGATTTTCTGTCGATCTGTCTATTAAAGTTGTTATCCTTTAGTGAAACTTTATTCACAAGAAAAAATTTTGTATAGTTTGGTACATGTATAAACAAATTTTCAGCTCCATTTCAATCTATTCTGAATATATATTGATATGATTCATTTAACAACAGCATTGTCATACTGATGAAGGATATATGTTATCCCAAATATTTATAATTCCTAGATTTATTGTTTCCTTTGTATATTGGTGTTGTTTTGTACACTTTTTAGATGTATATTTACGATGTAGGTATCATATTGTCCCTATTCTCGTCTGTCCATCCATATGTCCATGTATATGTTTATAAACTTTATAAAAAGCAACACTCCTACATGGCTTAGTTTGTTTTGGTGAAACGTCACAATTGTTAAACGCATCTTATAATGGAGATGTAATGAATAGATTTCATTTAAGATAAATAAGTTAAAAAGTCAGCAATTCAAACTAATATACTAAGATATTTAAGCTATTCAGAAGTCGGATTTAAGCTAGAATTTTTATACCAAGAATGGACATAACATTTTAGAAATTTTATTCGTATTACATGTACAAAGCATGTTTCTTGGTTTACCTTCATTTGGGTACACTCGAACCACAAAATATGAAAGTAAAGGATTTATAAGTGCTTGAATACATAGGAGGCTTTATGATTAAAAGAATAAAAAAATTCAACCCGACTTCAACTTTGCCTGAGGGAGTTTGAACCTTAGACTTTTCATTATTAAAGTACAAATGTATACCGACAGAAAATTAAAAAAAAAACTTAATATAATGAGTAAAATGTAGCTGCATAAAAGAGGCAGAAGATACCAAGGGAACATTACAAACAAATAGGTCGAGAAGAAGCAATGTCATGGCAATAAACGAGACACTACAAAGAAAACAAAAGAATGAGAAACACGAACCAAATAGACAGGTCGTCTTATGTGTACAATTGAACTCTTTTAACTTTCTCTTTTCATAAATTGATTTTTTGTTTATATGTTTACACAATTTTTTTTATGGTTGATCTTATATAATTGAAAAGTCTTTTATTCATATCAAAGTTTATATGAAATCAAATACTAAATGATAGGTATAAAAACAATTTTTTTCCGGTTTATTTAAATCGAAAGTTTTGACCCCCAAATTCCAAACAAAAGCATGATGCCCCCGTGTATTATGTCCATTAAATGTTTTCACAGTTTTAAGAATAGTATCTAGTATTGACTACAATCAATGTTTAACGAAGAATTACTAAAACAGCTGTCTGTTTGCAGGTAATTTGGGCAACTGTATGAATTTTTATTATTTGCTATTAAATTAGCATTCAGCGGAATTGTAGTAAATTAATGACGTTAAAACTTTCTTAGCACTATTCAAAGAGTTTTATTTAATTTTGTACGATAAATCGTTGAATCATAACGTAATATTTTGGCATTTACTCGTTTTTGTTAAGGAACTGTTTATTCAAACACGTCATACAGATTCCAAAGTGCGTTTGATACTTATAAAATTTTTTACATAATTTCATGCACTATTTTATTATTCAAATGATAGAATATGCAATTATGCTGACATCTTGAAAAACAAAATAAAAAATTGTCCCTCCTTGACCTTTAATTTTGATTTAACGGAAACACACCGTACGAATTTTTAACAATCATGACAATCGGGCAAAACAGAAAGAACAAATAATAGGCTATTGCATGATATAGTATATAGCCGTGAATGCATAAAAAAATTTATTTTATGGTTAACGTCACTCCACTATTGTATACAAACCTTACGAAAGTAAAGCTTTATTTAGAAAAATTACGCCATCGTCTCCTGTTGCCATATCAAAATTCCTACTTTCACTTTTGGAATATTTTCCACACGCGGTACGAGCATGATACGGACTTCAGAGTACAGATAATGTAATCACTTAAACTCGTTATTAAAAATTTCGAAAGCCAAAAAAGCTTAAACAAGAAAGGATATGAAAACCAAAATGAGCTTTAAACATAATTGTACCAACCAATTTGAAACAATATAGTTACAGTTTTTTTAATACAATTATATATTTATATACTTAAAACTGTCGATCGTTAAAGATGCTAGTACAAAAGTACTATCTACTGGGCGGATGCACTGAGACGTATTGTGTTTCGATTTAAAAACAAAAAGTGGACACTTATAAAGGATAGTTCTTAACAATAAAATAGAAAATAATACAAACCATTATCAGTAAAGTATTGGGATAAAATTGATCTTGTTGTGACATCTGTTACCCACAAATAAAAGGTAAACATAGATGTAACAATATATGTATGATAACGAATATCATATATTGATTATAGTAAATTTATTAGAGCCATTCTTTGGCCTCGGATAATCCTTCCAAAACTATTGTAGCTATTCTAATGAATAGAGATATATTCAGTTGAGGAAGGTCAACGATTTTCCGTATAAGAAGTAGCAAAATATCATTTTGGATTCAACCATTGCTCATATCTTAATACCAATGATAAGATCACAAATTGAGGTAATTTAGGCAAAGTGTATGAAATGCAAATTCATGAAATACGTACAAATCGAAACTACAAATACTATTATCTGACAGACTAATGTCTTGTGAACACCCACATGTTGTTATTGAATTGGTTTAACATACTGACTGTAATTCAAATTCAAGGGAGCATCATCGTTATCATATCTTTCCTTCTTCATCAATTCCATTATTTCAATTAGCGTCCCTATGGAGTGCAACTAGCAACCAAAGGAATTTCAATAGAAAGTGTATATTAGTACAATCATGAAGTCAACCTATATTTGACCCTCGGAACAAAGGGAACAAGCACACACATGACAGTATGTTTTTAAGAAAATCAATCACAAATCTTGTGATATATTGTAAACTCTCGAATACATAAAGTTTTAATTTTTATTCAGATGAATGAAACTAAATTTTTCCTTAATTTCTCATTTAAACAGTAGGACTCGATTTCAAATATTTGTCTTGACAGATGCAGAGCAACTAACCCTTATACCACACATACACAAAAGGAATTCAAATTAAGGCGACAGTAATGAACCGATGTTCAAATCTCGTAAATCGATTAGAAATTGACAAATCAAGGCCACACAAAACTGAGGAAATCCCATAAACTCAAAAGGGAACGAGACCGGGTGCGTCGACAGAGTAAACATCTCGTGCTCTTGGATCTTAAACTAGCTAGAGATCACGACCGAAACGGAAGTTAACATCAATATCGTACAAGTTTTGATTCGTTTTAACAACTGGAAGACTCAATATCGGAGGAAATTGATTCCAGAACTTAAACACATGCGACGATTATTGCTTTCTTAATGAATTCTCAGCCCAGCAACAGTGACATCGATGTGTAAACAAAATCAAAATCAAACATTACAGGTGAGCAACTAAAGTATACAGTCATGTCAAAGACTAACAAACATCCTAGAAATATAAGTCGATAATAAAAAAAAAAATACCCATAATTTTGTGTGACAATTGTTCTAATGTTTGAGAATAAGTGAATCTTATTGTTCAAGAAAATGCAGTCCACCTGTATTATTCTTGCTTTTCATACGTATAATTCTGTACAGTTTTGATATATATCGTGATGCGCCCCCTGATTGTCAAAATATTTTTTTTTGGTATTAAACAGTGAGAACGTCAGGTAATTTATGACAGTATTTGATGGATTTAATTTGTAGATATTACTCCTGAAGCCATGATCTTCCATGCAAAATTGTAGTGTCTTCGATAATTAACGGAGAATTGCGTTCAAATCGGTGCTGGGAGCCGTATTGAATTGCAGCAAGGGTGAGAGCTTTTGCATGTTTGAACAATTTTGGAAGTCTCACTGTGACTTTGAGATAAACTACAGTAACACAAACGGCCTTTGCTTTTAATGATTTCGTGTACGCGTATTGATTTTGTGTACTTAATGATACACGCTATATTTTTATCGGTAGTTATATTAAGTATCTGCTAGCTCTTCTGGAACACCTAAGATCTCCCCCGGTTTTTAGTTGTATTAGGTTCGTGTAGTTCAGTCTTTTGTTTTCGATGTTGTGTTATATATACTCGTGTTTGTCTTTTGTTTGTTTTTCGTTTTGTTTTTACTATGGCATTGTGAAAGAAAAACAAAGGATATGGTGTATCCATCCATGACACAAAATCAGTAAAAGCACAGCAGAGTTCGTTTTCGACGATGGGTTTGAATAAGTCCTTTTTTCAAACAAATGCATGTCCGATCACATACTACGCTATTGACTTATCTCTGAGGAATCTAGCTAACCGTGTTTATATATCCCAAACACAGTGCTTAGATTTAGTATTGCAGGATGAAATACAACTGTACAAGAACATATGTAAACATACAGTTTTGAATATCTGTTAGGGAATTTCCAATGTCTATCCAAATGTAAGTGAAATTGAAATTATAAATTTCCGCAGGAGAAAGGTGCGTGGTATAAACACTTAATAAGTTTTAAGGTTGTATGCTTTCTTCGATTTTTTTTATATCCAAATGAGAAAAAAGGTATATGATAAAACGTAAGAATATGAACATTTATTTGATATAACCTATTTTCCGAATGATGTCGTTAAACATCAGCAATCACATATTTTTCTAAACAAAAGTTTGTTTACATATTGAAGACTAGACTACAGTTTTACTGAATTTCAAAAAATAATTAGTAGCAATGTAAAAAATTAAGGTATATTAACTTCATACCGCCATCTTGGATTGTAAAATAGCAGCAGTTACAACCGGTCTAGTTCTTTGCTTAAATGTGCAAATTTTGAGACAGATTGGCTAGTATGTGTTTACTGTCAACTTGGCCACTTAAGGGGAGATAACTTAATTTTTTTTTTTAAAGAATGATAAAAAAATATTCAATTTGTACTTGTAGCAAGAAAACATGGTCGGTGAGACCGTTTTTTCCTTTTATTTTCTTTAAGCATATTTAAAATAAAATATCTTTTCATATTTAATTCCAAAATTCTATCTCATTGATTTCTTTTTGTTAACAAAAACGTGTTTTTTAATGAACAATCCTTGCAAATTTTGCCAATTTGTCACCACTTGTAGCTTGAAAAATAGCACAGTGACCCATACTGTTTTATGTTTTTGAAAAAAGTATGGAACAATCTACATTTAGCCAAGTTTAAGAAAATTCTATCTGAGGAAATATATACGAATGATCCATCTTAAGTAAAATATGTTTTCTTAATTTATTGTTTATATAAAATCCTGCATTATTGTATTATTGTAATAGCAGTATCGTCGTTGTATATAGGAATTCTATGTTATTCAATATACTAAAACCACTCTTTTTCATTTCCCGTGTGATTTTTACTTTTTTGTTTATATATCTACATAGAAAAAATTCTATTACTATGTAAGTAAAGCAACAGTTTATGAAAATGTATTCAAAGTGGGCTGTTATTGTTTTTCATCTAATGTGTCTAATAGTGTGTCTGGTTACTCAACGTCATTTGAGCAACCCCAAAGGACAGTTTGTCGCAGTTATTTTGGTGAGTGGATTATTAGATGTTGATGTGGTTCGTGTTTCTATATTTTATGATTTATCAAATGGTCTGTACAATTTTTCAGTGAATTGATTTTAGCAAAATATTTTCGTTCGATTTTAGAGGATATTCATCCTTGCCAGGGTCTTTATTCGTTGACCTGAGTGTTCGTGTCTTTCATCTCTTTACAGATACAACAACTTATATATTGGCCATCTGGTACAGTCAAACACGTTTAAAGACAATGTGACTCAGTAATTTTCGAGATTATTTTCTTTGTTATTAATATCTCATCTAATTTATATTTTGTTCCTACTATCTTCAAGTGACAACTGACTTTGATATTACATTACAAGCGTGGCATTTATAGCTTTGTCGTTATTTATATATGGTATTTAATTATTATTCCGTATAAAAAGCACAACACGACAGTTTATATCCAGATTTAGAAAAGTCAGCATGTCGTATTTACTGTATTTTTCAAGTGGGCTATTCTTTTTTTCATTTCATGTGTTAAGTAATGTATCTGGTTGCTCGATGTCATTCGAGCATCCTCAACGGAAATTTTGTCGAAGTTATTTTGGTAAGTTTGTACCAAAGTATACATGTAAGAGACAAATAAATTTCCCAAATTTAAATACAAAGAATCGCTCGAATTATTCTATATAACAGTAAATCTTGTTCATCCTTAGATTTTTCCGTAGACATATATATATATATATATATATATATATAATTCCATCTTCATGCCTTATATATCATGTACTGTATTACGAAGCTAGATTGAAACTGACGAGGAAAGGTAACACCCGGCCACCGAAAGCTTTATTTTTGTGAAGCCTAGGTGGTCGTGTGATCTAGCGCGTCGGATACAGTGCAGGCGATTTGGTGTCACGATATCTCAGTAGCATGAGTTCGAATCCCGGCGAGGGAAGAACAAAAAATTTGCGAAAGCAAATTTACAGATCTAACATTCTTGGGCTGATGTTTAGACGAGTTGTATATACAGAATATACAGAGCCATGCATCACCATCACTGCTGGTGATCCGATGGATAAATCTGTTATAGAGTTGTCACTTGTTCAGACGTACTTATAAATATAATTATTTCTGTGACTTTATCTTGCATCAATTTGTAGGATCCTTTACAATAGATATTTCAGCTGATCTGTAACAATTCCATCTTCACGCCTTATATATCATGTACTGTATTACGACGCTAGATTAAAACTGACGAGAAAAGATAACACCCGGCCACCGAAAGCGTTTTATATGTGAAGCCTAGGTGGTCGTGTGGTCTAGCGCGACGGATACAGGGCAGGCGATTTGGTGTCACGATATCTCAGGAGCATGAGTTCAAATCCCGGCGAGGGAAGAACAAAATATTTGCGAAAGCAAATTTACAGAACTAACATTGTTGGGCTGATGTTTAGACGAGTTGTATATATATATATATATATATGTTATCGAGTTTTCAAGAACAGAATTATTCATATGACTATTTTGGTAAGGTTATAAAGAGTTGATCAATTTTCGTTCATAGAAAAAATATACTTAAAATTAAATTGCCTTAGATTTAATTTGATTGTCTCAAGCACATTACTATTACGCGATTAAACTTTATGATGACGCAATCGAAAAAAAAATGAATCGAGAGAAATGAATAAGATATGTGTATGAAAATGATGCAATAATGAAGCGTTTAGAGTAAGAAATATATTCAACGTTCAAAATAAGTATTAATTTTAAAAATCCGTTTGTCGATGTTTTAAAAGTTAAATTTATGTTGAAAGAACTGGAAAACTAACATTTTCTGTAAAATGAATTATGTCAAAATTCGCAGTTGTTATACTAACTCTTCTATAGTTTCAAAAAGTAAATATGTACCACCGGGGAAAGAAAATGCAATGGTATGTAAATACCTTCGTTTTTACAATTAAACTAATGTCAAAACACAGACCAATAAAATAGTAAGTTCGAAAAACCTGTACACATGACATATGATATTTTCATATTATACATAAAGTTAAACATTTTATAAGATAAGTAGTAGTGTATTCTAAGAAAAGATGGCAATATCAATCATAACACAGGTAGTTATTGACTAATTACTGAGAACCTAAGCGAAAATTAGTGTATTGTAACAAACTTTGTTATCTTTCTGAAATGAAGAATTTATCCTTATTGTTATAACTAATTTATTCGTCTTTCAATTAAAAATCTCACGATAACTCGACAACTCAATTAATATTCAAAAAAGCACAAAATCAATCGATGTATTTTTTTCTTTCATTTCGGATATATCATTTTACAATCTTATCTAGTATAAATGTTGTTAGTAGACATCTTTGGGAAACCATCAATGGCAAGATAACGTCTCCAAAGTGTTAACTGAAAAATAAGAATATGTCGATTTCTTTACCTCTTCCATCGGGCTTTAAACACATTCTAAAGAGTGACATCCGTTTGACTGTGCTGAATAAATAAAAACGCAGCCACGTGCGGCCATAATAACGACCTAAAATTCAATGTCTCGTGAAGTGACAGTTTCATGCTTTCAGGACGTTACAAATCATGCAACCACTTTTAATGTGTACTCATTTGGCCTGTTTATTTTAGAATATACCTTTGAACTGATCAGCATGTTCCATTTGGAATTCTTCAAAGTGTTCATTGCATTGACAATTTTACCCATTACTTTAGTAAAACTTGTTAAACTATTCGTTCTCAAACGTAAAATTGTGTGTATATATATATATATATATTTATTTTTTTCAGTAATACGTGGGACGGTTAAAAGTGTCATTAAAATAAAAGGACCACCTGAAGATGAGGGAGCTGATAATCTTGCTGTGTATAAATATAGTATACTTATCACCAGCAAAATGAAGGTAAAATAGCAAAATATATGTGTTGACTTATTACAATATTTGGCCATAATTCGCCGTTTCAGGATCTGATGGACTTTCATTGTTCATACATCAAATGAAAAATAACGTCACGTCATTGGTTGGATTAAAGGTTTATAATCACTTAATTTTTGAGGTACGCTTTTTGAAATAGTACTCTGAATGCATCAGACTCTATTCCTTGTTCATCTGTCGATTCTTTATTTTTGTTTTCTATATCGTTCAAGAATTTTTGTGAAATACATTTGAATAAGATCAGTAATCAATTACCAATTCAGAAATATAGATATATAATTTAAAAACACCAATGAATTGAAATAACGAGTTAGTATTTACCACTTTTACCTTATGAAATTACAAAACATACAAACAATGATACACACATAATACAAAAGAATATGTTCGGCCACTGTCAATTACAATACACCTGTATATGCACGTTGATTGTTGACTTTGCATCTGTCCAAAAGGTACATGTATAAGTTATCAATAATTGTCAAACTATTTATACATGTTATAGGAGAAGTTTCGATAAAGCCTTGTTATGGTCCCTATTTTCTAGCTTAAACTTCATATTTATCAACCAATATTACAATAAAACATAGCTAAAACAATGGCTAAATCAGTGAAAAAAATGATTTTACAAAAATACCAAATTTCAAGGTTAATTATAAAAGGGTAGTCCATAAAACTTGACAAATGTTAGACCAGATCAACAAACTGTCAAATTACTGTCAACTGTTATATTGTTGACAAGTGCCATAATCAATGACTTGGTACGGGAATTTTACGACGAAAATGGTTGGTTAAACATAGTTTTATATTTAACTTAACTTCCCATTTGTATAACAGTTGTTTGTAGTTACGTTATATTGGCAATAATAGGGATCCACCTGCTAAAACTGTGTAAACATACATCAGAGACATAACACACTACTGAATAAAAAAAAAATCATCAAACATTCGCTGAAGTCCGCCTCCGGATGCGGGATTTTCTTGTCTCTTTGACGTTCCCTTTCTCAATTCTACACAAATCTAACAAAGGCGCCTGCAAAAACGTGTGTATTTGTGATATAAGATTCATTAACTAAAACGTTATATGTCTACTCATTAGGGTTAAAAATCACAAATTTTTATTTTTCTCGAAAAATCATTTAAAAACAGATCAATTTACATTTGTTTTTAAGACATGAAACTTAGAGTACATGCGCGAACAAAAGTACCTTTTTACATGAGGTTTGTTATAATTTGCATATCTGCCATGAATAGGAACAATTTGCATAAAATTATCTGATTTGATTAAATACAATTTGAATACCTTACTTGAATATTTAGCTCGCCGAAGCATGTGCTACATGTTTCCTAGGCCTTTATTTGGTTGAAATTAAGACGATTTTGTACATTTTCACCATAACTCTATTTTTGGGTCTACATGTAGTTTGTTAGTGAATATCAAAGTTTTATAAGAAAAGTTGAACAAACATAGTTCGTTTTCACTTTTTGCATGTCTTAACATAAACTTTAAACATTTTTTTTAAATCTTGAAACAATTTAATATTCGAGGCCAATTACCTAACTTACTTCTTTTTAATGTCTACTTTTTTTTCACATCTTAGTCAGATTGAAAACGACTTCACAAATTGAGTAAACACTTGTCTAATTTTGAAAAAATGTAGAACGCCCTCTTTTTGTCATTTGTGCCATTGTGTATTTTGATTACGGTCTCATAGACGAATACCCTTCATCTCTTTTACAACTCAACTTTATATAATTATAAGGTATCAACTTTCAAGAGTATTTTGTATCGCAGGGACCTTTCAAGATGAGGGCAGGCAGAGAGGTAATAGTTGAGACATCAGGGAATAGCGCCCTCTGTTCCCTCGGCCTCACTATTGGAGAAGAATATGTCTTATCAGGTATTTGGATAGATATAGATATTATAACAAAATTAGAATTATACAAGGATTAAACATGTCACTTCTTAAGTTTAAAAAGGTTGAAAATATGTCTATGAAGAAACAAAATCATAACTCGAAAATAGATAAACAATATTCCCCTCTCACTTTCCTTTTCCACTATTGACAACTGGTGTGGTGT